TTAGCTTTTTAACTGACAGATCTCAGAGAGTGAAAATCAATGACTGTTTTTCTGATGTTGTTTCTGTGAGCACTGGTTCTCCTCAGGGATGTATTTTGAGTCCTTTGCTTTTTACTTTGTACACTCACGATTGTGTGTCCTCCTCTGACTCAAACTTGATCATCAAATATGCTGATGACACCACCATCATCGGTCTCATCAGTGACAATGATGAATCCTCTTATAGAGCAAAGATACAAAATGTGGTTCAGTGGAGTAAAACTAACAACCTCCAGTTGAACGCATCCAAAACATGTGAACTGGTCTACAACTTCAGTCGCAATAGTTCTCATTTGCCTGTCGTAATCGACAACTCCCAGGTGCAGATCGTAGAGGAGTGCAAGTTTCTGGGTTTAACTCTGTCTAACGACCTGAAATGGGTTAAAAACACTGACCGAGTCGTTAAGAAAGCTCGTCAGCGTCTCTACTCTCTGCGTAAACTTAGAGAATTTACCACTAACTCTAAGATTCTGCTTAACTTTTATCGCTGCACCATTGAGAGTTTACTTGTTGGTTCTGTGTCTGTGTGGTTTGGAAACATCACAGATAAAGAAAAGAGAGCTTTAAACAAGGTGCTCCGCTCTGCAAAGAGGACCGTGGGCTGTGAGCTTCCTGTTCTGGAGGTTCTTTATAAATCCAGACTTGCTGGGAAAGCCATGTTCCAGCTTCTTCCCTCTGGCAGAAGATATTGCTTTCTGAGATGCAGGACATCTCGTTACGCTAACAGTTTTTATCCACAAGCTGTTATCAGTGTGAACAGAGCACTTTAATGATTTGCACTTGTTTTGAAACTGTTTTAGTCGATCGATTTCACAGTGACATTTGTTTACTGTTTTATTTGTTTTATTTTTGTCTTTTAATCTTCTGTATTTGTCTGTGCACACTGGAGACTTTTGCTCATGTATTCCAATGTGTTTTTTTTTTACTGCAAATGGCAAATAAACTGAATCTGAATCTGAATCTGAGATGATGGGTGAGAAACCTTCCTTTGCATTTTCATGTCGCAATGATTTGTCTTTTAAAGAAAAGCTTTCAGGTTCCAGAATATTCTCTCTTCTCTCTGAGTGAATGGAGACGTGGAAACAGTTACAACAATGATAAAAGCTTCTTTCTCTGTATGTTTTTCTACAATATTCCACGTTTAAATATAATCACCGTCACCAGCGTTTTAGTCAAATGAATGGCAACCTCTCAAAGGCACATTTTGACCACATTTCCACAGAATCTGCACTTGTTTGGTCTCATCAGAGTTTTGATTGCATCGCTGCCTGAGCTTCATTATCTGCTGCTCATTCAAAGCAATTATCTGTGAACTCGCTCCGTTAGATTAGCACCGAACCTTTCAGCACGTCTCTATTCTCAGACAGAGACAAGACAAGGACCAGCAAACAAAACCAGGACGGACCATTGAAGACAGAGGGGATGGGGTTTTACTGCAGAGCCGATCGATGCCAGGCCATCGATCTCTGTGGGAGGCGGAGGCTGCCGTTTGTGATTCCAGAGAGAGGAGCTGGACGGCAGGTTGGTCAGAGAGAGAGACTGGGGTCAGTGGGGAGGACCGTGTGTGGTCTCTGGTCTCTCTGGTCTCTCTTGTGTTTCTGGTCTCCGGTCTCTCTGGTCTTCGGTCTCTCTCTGGTCTCCCTGGTCTCTCTTGTCTCTCTGCTCTCTGGTCTCCGGTCTTTCTGGTCTCTCTTGGTCTCTGGTCTCTCTTGGTCTCTGGTCTCTCTTGTCTCTCTGCTCTATGGTCCCTCATGGTCTCTGGTCTCCCTGGTCTCCTGTCTCTCTAGTCTCTGGTCTCTGTTGGTCTCTGGTCTCTCTGGTCTCTCTTGGTCTCTGGTCTCTCTAGTCTCTGGTCTCTGTTGGTCTCTGGTCTCTCTGGTCTCTCTTGGTCTCTGGTCTCTCTTGGTCTCTGGTCTTTCTGGTCGCTCTGGTCTTGTATTAGTATCATGTAATGAGGAAAAATCAAAGAATGATACAGAAGTTGGCTTGACCAGAGACTACACCTCAAAAACTATTGAAATGTATACTATGTGGATTACAATGGTTTCTTGTCATTAAATGCAATGAATTGAATTCTTGAAGTAGCAGCTGTATTTTTCTGAGGTGAGAGAGGCCAGAGAAAGACCAGAGAGAGACCAGAGAGAGAGAGACCAGAAAGAGTCCAGAGAAAGAGACCAGAGAGAGACAGTGGTATTCCTCTGAACAAATCACAGCTGTGCACTCAAGCCACAAAGGTTTGTGATCTCGCTGGTCTTTCTCTGGTCTTTCTCTGGTCTTTCTCTGGTCTTTCCCTGGTCTCTCTTTGGTCTCTCTCTCTGGTCTTTCCCTTGTCTCTCTCTGGTCTTTTTTTGGTCTTTCTTTTTGGTCTTTCTCTGGTCTCTCTCTGATCTCTCTCGGGGTCCCAGTTTCTAGAGTCTCTCAAATCTCTCACTCGTCACATTCTTTGATCACTTTCCAGTATCTCTCTGGTCTTATTTGAAAAAGGTTGCTTTATTTTCTCACTCCAAGGGAGACATTTCTTGAATCGTTTTAAAACAGTACTTTTGCTTGTCCCCTTTAACTTAAACATAATAAAGAATCCTGTATATTGTAGTGCAGTAAGTATCTAGTTGTGTGTTTACATCTGTACATGTTAGCAGCATGAGTGTGGTTGCACATTCTGACATTATTTCACATTTTGGCACAGATGCAGTAATGTGAGGTCAGGTGACTCCCGAGAGGATGTACGACAAGTGTCACAGAGGAATTCCAAAAATGCAGGACCCTCTCGCACGCGCTAGAGTCTGAGGGGGGTCTGTGTCGTCACGGAGACCAGTACCATGTGGGAAGCAGCTCCGAGTCCCACTTTAGGGACTCTCCCCAGAACAAAGACCTGGTCCATCAGGCCTGACGGGACTGAGGCACCTGGAGAGGACCACATGCAGAGAGAGACCCCCCCTCGGAGACCCCCCCAGGAGATACGTCTGAGAGATGACACACACAGAGCTCGAAGGTGAAGTGAGAGGGTTCAAGAGGGAGATAGACTCAAGGATTCATTGCAACAAATAGTAAATATGAGATAAATGCTTGAATCGAGTGGTTTTTATAATAATTTGTCAATAAAATAAAAAAGGTGTCTAGGGTCTGGAATGCGCCTCCTGTACGGCGACCCCGCTCCCATCTCTATGTGGAGTCAGAGACAAATGCCCACAATTGTAAAGCGCTTTGTGACTCTGGTCTGTGAAAGGTGCTATATGAATAAAGATTACTTTCTTAATTTGAAAACATTCTGACCAGAGAGAGAGAGAGAGAGAGAGAGACCAGAGAGTGAGACGTTAGAAAGAGACCAGAATGAAAACTGAGAGAGACCAGAGAGAGAGAGAGAGACTAGAGAGAGAGAGACCAGAGAGAGAGACCAGATAGAGAGACCAGAGACAGAGACTAGAGAGAGAGAGACCAGGGAGAGACCAGAGAGAGAGACCAGAAAAAGAGACCAGAAATACATTGGTAAAATCTATATAAAATGAGATAAAACCAAACTGTTTTCAGAGCGAGGAAGATTAGAAAAATGTTCTCGTGGCTTGAAAGTTGGGTACCCCAGCTTTAATGTATTTCTCTTCCATGTCCGCGGTGTGTAAAACAAACTGATAAATCTAAGTCTGCTTCTCCCCTGACCCCGTCTGCATTCCTGCTCTCACATCATCACGCCCAGTCAATTATTAAGACATCGGCCCCTCCCTCTGGGGTCCAGGACCAGGGCCACCCAGAGAGAGACCAGAGAGAGACCAGAGAGAGAGACCAGAGAGAGACACATAGATAAAAAATACATTGGACCATAAATGTCATTAAATGTTGAATTTCTGTGGTCTCTGATGTGGTCTCTGATGAGGTCTCTGATGCTGTCCCTGATGCGGCCCCTGATGCTGTCCCTGATGCTGTCTCTGATGCTGTCTCTGATTCTGTCTCTGTGTTCTCTGATGCGGTCTCTGATGCGGTCTCTGATGCGGTCTCTGATGAAGTCTCTAATGCTGTCCCCAATGCGGTCCCTGATGCTGTCCCTGATGCTGTCTCTGATGCTGTCTCTCTGATGCGGTCTCTGATGCTTTCGCTGATGCGGTCTCTGATGCGGTCTCTGATGCGGTCCCTGATTTGGTCTCTGATGCAGTCCCTGATGCAGTCCCTGATGTTGTCTCTGATTCGATCTCTGTGGTCTCTGATGCGGTCTCTGATGAGGTCTCTGATGAGGTCTCTGATGAGGTCTCTGATGCTGTCCCTGATGCGGTCTTTGATGAGGTCTCTGATGAAGTCTCTGATGCTGTCCCTGATGCGGTCCCTAATGCTGTCCCTGATGCTGTCTCTGATGCTGTCTCTCTGATGCGGTCTCTGATGCTTTCGTTGATGCGGTCTCTGATGCGGTCTCTGATGCGGTCCCTGATTCGGTCTCTGTTGCGGTCTCTGTTGCGGTCTCTGTTGCGGTCTCTGATGCGGTCCCTGATGCGGTCCCTGATGTTGTCTCTGATTCGGTCTCTGATGCGGTCTCTGATGCGGTCTCTGATGAGGTCTCTGATGCGGTCTCTGATGCGGTCCCTGATGTTGTCTCTGATGCGGTCTCTGTGGTCTCTGATGCGGTCTCTGATGAGGTCTCTGATGAGGTCTCTGATGAGGTCTCTGATGCTGTCCCTGATGCGGTCTCTGATGAGGTCTCTGATGCTGTCCCTGATGCGGTCCCTGATGCTGTCCCTGATGCTGTTTCTGATGCTGTCTCTGATGCTGTCTCTGATGTGGTCTCTGTGGTCTCTGATGCGGTCTCTGATGAAGTCTCTGATGCTGTCCCTGATGCGGTCCCTGATGCTGTCCCTGATGCTGTCTCTGATGCTGTCTCTCTGATGCGGTCTCTGATGCTTTCGTTGATGCGGTCTCTGATGCGGTCTCTGATGCGGTCCCTGATTCGGTCTCTGTTGCGGTCTCTGTTGCGGTCTCTGATGCGGTCCCTGATGCGGTCCCTGATGTTGTCTCTGATTCGGTCTCTGATGCTGTCTCTGATTCGGTCTCTGATGCGGTCTCTGATGCGGTCCCTGATGTTGTCTCTGATGCGGTCCCTGATGTTGTCTCTGATTCAGTCTCTGATGCGGTCTCTGATGCGGTCTCTGATGCGGTCCCTGATGCGGTCCCTGATGTTGTCTCTGATTCGGTCTCTGAAGCTGTCTCTGATTCGGTCCCTGATGCGGTCTTTCATGCGGCCCCTGATGCGGTCTTTCATGCGGTCCCTGATGCGGTCTTTCATGCAGTCCCTGATGCGGTCTTTCATGCAGTCCCTGATGCGGTCCCTGATGCTGTCTCTGATGCTATCTCTCTGATGCGGTCCCTGATGCTGTCTCTGATGCGGTCCCTGATGCGGTCTTTGATGCGGTCCCTGATGCGGTCCCTGATGCTGTCTCTGATGCGGTCCCTGATGCGGTCTCTGATGCGGTCCCTGATGCGGTCCCTGATGCGGTCTTTGATGCGGTCCCTGATGCGGTCCCTGATTCGGTCTCTGTTGCGGTCTCTGTTGCGGTCTCTGATGCGGTCCCTGATGCGGTCCCTGATGTTGTCTCTGATTCGGTCTCTGATGCTGTCTCTGATTCGGTCTCTGATGCGGTCCCTGATGTTGTCTCTGATTCAGTCTCTGATGCGGTCTCTGATGCGGTCTCTGATGCGGTCTCTGATGCGGTCTCTGATGCGGTCCCTGATGTTGTCTCTGATTCGGTCTCTGAAGCTGTCTCTGATTCGGTCTCTGATGCGGTCTCTGATGCGGTCTCTGATGCGGTCTCTGATGCTGTCTCTGATGCGGTCTCTGATGCGGTCTCTGATGCGGTCTCTGATGCGGTCTCTGATGCGGTCTCTGATGCGGTCTCTGGTGCTATCTCTCTGATGCGGTCTCTGATGCGGTCTCTGATGCGGTCTCTGATGCGGTCCCTGATGCGGTCTTTCATGCGGCCCCTGATGCGGTCTTTCATGCGGTCCCTGATGCGGTCTTTCATGCAGTCCCTGATGCGGTCTTTCATGCAGTCCCTGATGCGGTCCCTGATGCTGTCTCTGATGCTATCTCTCTGATGCGGTCCCTGATGCCGTCTCTGATGCGGTCCCTGATGCGGTCCCTGATGCGGTCTTTGATGCGGTCCCTGATGCGGTCCCTGATGCGGTCTCTGATGCGGTCCCTGATGCGGTCCCTGATGCGGTCCCTGATGCGGTCTTTGATGCGGTCTTTGATGCGGTCCCTGATGCGGTCCCTGATGCGGTCCCTGATGCGGTCCCTGATGCTCTCTCTGATGCGGTCCCTGATGCTCTCTCTGATGCGGTCCCTGATGCTCTCTGATGCGGTCCCTGATGCGCTCCCTGATGCGGTCCCTGATACGGGGCACATACATCAGGAGCGCCCAGTCGTGGTCCATGTTCCTGTGCTGACAATAGGGCATTGATGAGAACAAAGGCGCGTCAGTGGAAGAGGCCTTTGAAGGTGAAGCCATAATTAGATGAAAATAGTCCACAACACAAACAATGAACTTCTCACAATCATCTTTTTTGATATTTTCCGACAATAATGACCGAGCCAGAACACGGGCAGAACATGGGAGCAGCAGCGAGACAGTTTAGAATCAGACAGGCTTCAAAACAGCTGGGTTTAGCTTTATATTAAGGCTTTAAGACGAAACTCTCAGGCTCAGGAGCACAGGGACCTTCCTCCAACGACTGACCAGAGGGAGAGACTAGAGAGAGAGACCAGAGAGAGAGACCAGAGAGAGAGACCAGAGAGAGAGAGACCAGAGAGAGAGACCAGAGGGAGAGACTAGAGAGAGAGACCAGAGAGAGAGACTAGAGAGAGAGACCAGAGAGAGAGAGACCAGAGAGAGAGACCAGAGAGAGACCAGAGAGAGAGAGACCAGAGAGAGAGAGACCAGAGAGAGAGACCAGAGGGAGAGACTAGAGAGAGAGACCAGAGAGAGAGACTAGAGAGAGAGACCAGAGAGAGAGAGACCAGAGAGAGAGACCAGAGAGAGACCAGAGAGAGAGAGACCAGAGAGAGAGACCAGAGAGAGAGACCAGAGAGAGAGACCAGAGAGAGACCAGAGAGAGAGACCAGAGAGAGACCAGAGAGAGAGACCAGAGAGAGACCAGAGAGAGAGAGACCAGAGAGAGAGACCAGAGAGTCCTGTGAACTATAATCACTGCGGTGCAAACATGTCACAAATGTTTCCTTCCGACTCTAGACAAAGGTAACTGTCATGTTGCTGGGGGTTATAGAGGGTGATTGGAGTGCACATGCAGAACCTTCATTCACTTCAATTTGATTTTGTTTAGCCTAAAATCAGCAGTCTGTGAAGGCACTGGTTTGTCCAGTGCCTTCAACACCATCCAGACACTTACAGCTACTGATCTATGTGGATGTGTGTGTTCATTGTGTGCTCTTACTAGTGTGCTGTAGGGTGCACAGGAATCTCCCCACTCTCTGGTCTCTCTCTGGTCTCTCTCTGGTCTCTCTCTGGTCTCTCTCTCTGGTCTCTCTCTGGTCTCTCTCTCTGGTCTCTCTCTGGTCTCTCTCTCTGGTCTCTCTCTGGTAAGTAAGTAAGTAAGTTTTTATTTATATACCGCCTTTTCACTGCAGATCTGAGTCTCAAAGCGGTTTACAATTGTTAATTATGGGCATTTGTCTCTCACTCCACACAGAGATGGTCGCCAGTACAGGAGGCGCATGCCAGAACTATTGGACATATTTTTAGTGGTAGGGGAAACCGGAGTACCCGGAGGAAACCTACGCAGACACGGGGAGAACATGCAAACTCCACTCAGAAAGGCCCTGGTCCGACCGGGATTCGAACCCAGGACCTTCTTGCTGAGAGGCGAGAGTGCTATCCACTCAGCCACCGTGCCGCCCATGGTCTCTCTCTGGTCTCTCTCTGGTCTCTCTCTGGTCTCTCTCTGGTCTCTCTCTCTGGTCTCTCTCTGGTCTCTCTCTCTGGTCTCTCTCTGGTCTCTCTCTCTGGTCTCTCTCTGGTCTCTCTCTGGTCTCTCTCTCTGGTCTCTCTCTGGTCTCTCTCTCTGGTCTCTCTCTGGTCTCTCTCTGGTCTCTCTCTCTGGTCTCTCTCTGGTCTCTCTCTCTGGTCTCTCTCTGGTCTCTCTCTGGTCTCTCTCTGGTCTCTCTCTGGTCTCTCTCTCTGGTCTCTCTCTGGTCTCTCTCTCTGGTCTCTCTCTGGTCTCTCTCTGGTCTCTCTCTGGTCTCTCTCTCTGGTCTCTCTCTGGTCTCTCTCTCTGGTCTCTCTCTGGTCTCTCTCTCTGGTCTCTCTCTGGTCTCTCTCTGGTCTCTCTCTCTGGTCTCTCTCTGGTCTCTCTCTCTGGTCTCTCTCTGGTCTCTCTCTGGTCTCTCTCTGGTCTCTCTCTGGTCTCTCTCTCTGGTCTCTCTCTGATACATCTCTCTAGTCTCTCTCTATGTGATCTGTGTCTCAGGTCTCTTTGATTTCTCTCTCTGGTCTCTCGCGCTCTCTAATCTCTCTCTCCGGCCTCTCTCTGGTCCCACTCTCTGGTCTCTTGCCAGTCTCTCTCTACGGTCTCTCTCTCTGGTTTTTCAAGTTTGATCCTGGGTAAAACAAGAATCACTTTTCTTCACTAACAAACAGGGAAAATAATAGCATCTGTGCACGATTGTACTATTCCGTTCTGTTTGGTCTCTCTGTCTTCTCTGTGAAGGCCTCTACGCAGTGGAATGCTCTTTCTAACTTTATTAAACCGTGTGTTACTCTGGAAAGCTGTAAGATGTAACTGAAAAGAGTGAGCAACAATGTGATCAGTCTCCATAGGTCCAAAGGTACTGACGCCACCTGTGTGTGTGTGTGTGTGGGTGGGTGTGCGTGTGTGCAACTGTGTGTGGGAACACGTCTGTGACTGTGTGTCTTTTTAAATAAATACATAAATAATAAGTAGTTATTAATAATAAAATAGTAATAATAAATACATTGTGTATGCTGCATGGCGATAGGTTTCACAAAACAAAAAAGGGTTGGGAACCACTGCTCTTCTCTACAAACAACTAACCCCCTAAACCCTGAATTCAAGTAAATGTAGATCACAGAGATTCTTTGAGTATTGAGAGTAGCTGGTATAGGTCGTACATTAACCAACAGGACACTTGTTTTTCCGGATTCATGCATTAGTGTTGTGGTGTTAGCTGCAGGTAATGGAGGACGCGGGTTTGAACACAATGAGAGGAGAGGATGTATGCGGCGGATGGTGCATCATTATGATTGTGAGGCTGCGATGTAGATGAAGCAGAAATGATCCACGCTCAAGTGGTTTGGAAATGTATCTTACCGCCCGGATACTGACAGCCAAGTGGGGTGAAGAGCCCTGAGAGCTGGCAACCACAAAACAGGGAAGGGAGGAGATTTGTTTTGAAAAATGTTGTGTGTCGTGGGTAACCGATATGACCCTAGACCACTCTGAGGAGCATAGGGACAGGCCTCCTGCTGGGACTCTGAGGAGCATAGGGACAGGCCTCCTGCTGGGACTCTGAGGAGGACAGGGACAGGCCTCCTGCTGGGACTCTGAGGAGCATAGGGACAGGCCTCCTGCTGGGACTCTGAGGAGGACAGGGACAGGCCTCCTGCTGGGACTCTGAGGAGCATAGGGACAGGCCTCCTGCTGGGACTCTGAGGAGGACAGGGACAGGCCTCCTGCTGGGACTCTGAGGAGCATAGGGACAGGCCTCCTGCTGGGACTCTGAGGAGGACAGGGACAGGCCTCCTGCTGGGACTCTGAGGAGGACAGGGACAGGCCTCCTGCTGGGACTCTGAGGAGCATAGGGACAGGCCTCCTGCTGGGACTCTGAGGAGGACAGGGACAGGCCTCCTGCTGGGACTCTGAGGAGGACAGGGACAGGCCTCCTGCTGGGACTCTGAGGAGGACAGGGACAGGCCTCCTGCTGGGACTCTGAGGAGCATAGGGACAGGCCTCCTGCTGGGACTCTGAGGAGCATAGGGACAGGCCTCCTGCTGGGACTCTGAGGAGCATAGGGACAAGCCTCCTGCTGGGACTCTGAGGAGCATAGGGACAGGCCTCCTGCTGGGACTCTGAGGAGCATAGGGACAGGCCTCCTGCTGGGACTCTGAGGAGCACAGGGACCGGCTCTTCTTCACTCTTTTTGATGTACTGCTATTTTTATATTAACACCTTGTGTGGTTGTTTCCATCTTTCATGTTTGTTTCAAGTCTGCTTTATTTCACAGCACTTTTCTTTTCGATATTCAGTATTATCTTCTATACAGACTTCACAAATAATACTTGAGCTCTCTTTGTCCGGCAGATGGCGCCATTGTGCAATAGCTGGCTCCTGATCTCTCAAGGGTCATGGTCCATTGATTCTCTGCTCAGTAATACACACACACACACACACACACACACACACACACACACACACACACACACACACACACACGCACCACACGCACACGCGCACACAGTCACATTAGTGTGTATCTACAGATATGCACATACAGTATTTTAAACGTTATCAAGTTAAAGATATATAATTTTAAAAACATTTGGAGTTGTGTTTTACTTGATATAGAATTAAAAAACAAAGTATCTCTCTACCCTCATTCCTACTGTTCTGTACCTGTTGATGCAACACTGACATTTCCCCAGTGTGGGAACCTCTTCATCTTCATCTTATTTACATGTGTGGATTAATTGACCTGCAGTAGAGAGATGTGTCCAGAGCCACTTCAACTGACGCCTCTCAACATTGGAACAACGGCTCTACTGCGAGCTCCACTCGTACATGACTGAGCTCCATCTCTTTTCTACCCCGCAGTAACAAGTTACATAAGAACGAAGAAGGAGAAGGAGGAGGAAATGTTAATTTATCCTGTGTGAGATCAATAAAGTCTATCTTATCTTACCTTATCTTAAGAAAGTGATGTAGGGGAATGAGGAAATCAAGGAGAAGGAGGAGCCCTCAAACAGCTGTGAATATTAGAGGAAAAGTCATTTACAATTCATTTAAATGTATTTGTGTATCGCCCTGAATCACAACACCAGTCAAGTTTAATAAACCTTATATATTTGTAGAACACTTTTAAAAAACAGTTTTTTTACAAAGCACATTCAGCATAAAGCAGTAAATAATAATAAATAAATACAGCAGAATATAGCAGACAGACTTTGTGAAAGACAAAAAGTGGGTTTTAAGAAGTTATTTAAAACAGGGGTGGTGTGCTCCTTAATAAAACCAGTGAGAAGTCTGGCTGCTGCGTTCTGGACCAGCAGGAGGTGGGAGAGAGATATGGAGGCGGGAGAAGATGAGGGCGTGGACAACTGTATGGAGATCAGGAGGAGTGAGACTGTTTTAGTCTTGGAGATGGTGCGGAGGTGA